ATGACGTTAATGCACTGGAGCAGCCACAACGCCGGGCATCTAAGAACGCAATTGGAATGCGCAATCTTTCCTACCAGGAGAGGCTGCAATGACTGGGATTGTTCAGTGGAAGCTATCGCAGGCTACGAGGCGACCTCATTATGGCATACTTGATTCTTCGAGACCCACATCATGTGTGCCGACCTTTACTACAACTCAGCAGCAATACAAACCTGAGGGGCCACTCATTAAAACTCGCAGAATAATACAGTCGTTTGGAGTGCCGCAGAAATTTCTTTTCCATTCGTGTCTGTCACCCGTGTAATGCTCTCTCAGAATCGATCGTCTCTGCACCGACACTAACAGTATTTAAAAGACGGATGGACAATGCACTCATCCACTTACACTTTGGCACTACGTCTCCATCCTACACCCGGAGTTTACCATGGAATTATTTGTTGTTAACTGTGGGTGCTGTGAATGTAAGAGGATCGCAGGACTACAGCGGAGCAAGCGATAAGTCCTTATTTTCATATTTAAAGTATTAACTATTTTACTATCCTTATTATCATTATTGTTATGTGGATATCCCCACCAACTATCCAACGGGACTTGTAAAGCAACGCTTCTTAACCCGTATAAATTCATTGTTCATTGTTCATAATACTAATGTAGCACTTGTATTTTGTGTCCATTGCTTCGCACCCAGACCTTTTATTTCTCCCGACCCGGTAAACTCTTCAATGCACTGCTTTCATGTATCACTAGCGTTCGTTGAGCACCCCTCATAGTAAAACAGTGGGTCCCCTTCAGCCATTTCGTTAAGGCAGAGAAGGCAGATTGCGAACCTCGCAACTTTTGTCCTCGAACCCGATTTCGTAAACTGTTATCCTTTGAATGTATTTTTCAGTTTTCCGCAAGCTTATAACGATTACCCCATGGTCACCCGTCGAACCTTACTAACAAGCTAAAGGTAGTTTGTTAACCTGCTTCAAAGCGCAAACTACATCGGTCCCTCCAACGTGTGTTCTTCCTCTCCCCCCTCAGTGAGACGCCTCGATTCAAGCAGCCTTTCAACGATGCTTTTGTGTTTGTGATCGGTGGTGGCTCTTACGTTGAGTACCAGGACCTCCTTGACTGGTCTCGCGCTACTACAGGCGGCGGAACTGTCCCCGGTGAGGCAACATCATCCAGTTCTGGCAACGCGACTGTAATGAGCAACCTACCTGTGAATGGCACGAATGCTCTAGATGTTTCAGCTACAGCTCATTCGTCCACACCGGGGACGAACGTAAAACGAGTTGTCTACGGTTGCACTGAGCTTCTCAGTCCAGGGGAGTTCTTGTCACAAGTGAGCTGCCTTCGATAGAGTTCCAATTATTGTTTTTTACGCGTCGATCAGTGGCCTTCTTCACTCTCATATATAATACGCGAATTGGGCGTTCATGATGTTTTTTCATCAAAAGATTATGCTGACGTGGAGTGATGTTTTTCGTTCCTCTGTGATCCATTGAGCGGCGCTAGGTGTCACTGTCCATAAGTTTCAGAAGCTCTCATACCAGGCCATTCAATGGTTATTGATCGCACAGACTCAATTCAGTTTGAGGAGAAGCAGCTAACTCCCTTCCCACAACTCTCACTCATGGGAAAAACATTTTCCAAGGTGGAGGGTCTCGGTGTTGCTTTCTCTCTCGTCACTGCACTCCCCGACGCGTTTCGTTCTTGTTTGAACTCATTAACTAGTGATGGCTTGAGCTGGGAGTGGAACTTGGCACATAGTGGTTGGCGGCCATCGCCGTGATCACTAAACCATTGAGCTCTGCGTGCAACGCCTGACACAAAGCGGGTCCTCTAAAACTCAGCAATCAACATTTTCGGCGTTTTAAGTTGACTTACATGGGCTTGGAGCACCTTACTGCCTGTTAACTCACGATAGGAGAACGCGACCGTTGCTTTGCTACTGCCCTTGTCCAACAGAACCAAGTTGTAGTTACTCATAGGTCCTTGTCGATTTTGTCATCCATTATGATCGAAATCTCCTTTTGCGATTCTTTGTTCCCTCACCAAAGGTGGATTCGACTGTTGATTTAAAGGTTCACAAAGTAGTTCTCCAGGATGATTTCTATGCGTCCCTTAGCTTTTTGAGTCAGAATTGGATCAAATGCTACAGACGAAAGTTTTCGAACCGATCCAATCTGGCGATAGGTACTTGAGCATCATCTATCTACAGACTTTGCCGTACATCTTTTTTCCTTATTCGACTTCCCTCAGATTACCTGGTAGGGAGTTGCCCCTAACTTTACTACTCATGCTTGTTTTTATCTTCAATTGGTCCCACATTTCGTTATTTGTTTTTTACTCGGTGTTCTATGTCATATGAATCAACAGTCAACACTACTGGAGGTCTGTCGTTCCCCTCTCCCGCATCAGTGCCTGCGATAACTTGGTCCACCCTGTGCTGGGCCAAACTTTAACCGTGCGTCTGACCTATATGACTATGGCCAAGGTTATGGGCCTGTCGGCATCCGCTAGGTGGCTCATACTTCGCTTATTGTGCACCGGCTTCACTTATATTTAACTAACCTAATTCATCGAGTGCAATTACAGAAGATTTTTAGCGTGCTTCAAGTTTTGCGACCGAAACTCAGTATTGGTCAGGGAAAAGTATTCTACGCTCACTTCTGCTCTTTTATTCTTACGAATGCTAACTGGCATCTTATGGGATAGACGAGTTGTTGTATCAGATTCTTCGACGTCAACACCATTTGTTTTTGTAATGTGTATGATCATCTATCCATTGCTTATTGCCAGTTATTTGTGTCCCTTATTGGTAATAATGTTGGACCAGGAGCTAGCTTGTCACTAATAGTTGTGTCGTTACCTTTGGACACTGTCCCAAATATTGTTCCGTTTGTTTGACGTAGAACGTGTCTGCTGCTTCCTACTCTGGCTCGTCTTCATTTAGTGTGCTCGTTTATTGATCCGCAGATATATCCGTATGCTCCCTAACTCTGAACATCTGCGAGCTTTTTGTTGCAACTCCACTCCGCTTTATCCGCATGAACCACACAACTGTTTGTTAGTACACCGATAGTGTTTGGTGCTCATCAGATGGCCGCAATTTCCGCTGTTTCTCTAATGGTATCCGCTGTATGCGAAGACTTCACACAGACATTTCATTACCACTCAACCACCCGGGGGTTACATGTAAACTGAGATACTGATCTCTCGCGCACCAACGCTGGATCGATTCGGTGGCACGTGAATTACAGGCCACAGACCCTAAGCCAACGTTTCCGCAAAAACAACCGCTCTGTTTTGACTAACTGTAATACAGTTTCTTTATTTCTCGTATATTTCAAGAGTTATCATAACTATCTACATTAGGGGCAATCATCACTCCGCCTAGCCAGATGACGAGCGTTCGGACACAAAAGCTACCCCTTCTGTCCTGCTTAGTACACCTGGTGTTGTTCTTAGGGCAGGCACTGTGTCGGCTTTGCGTTTACGAAAACACCGGTTGCTCCATCCAGAAAGGCCTACTCGGTAACAAGTGCGCTTCGGTGTATAAACCTGAGCGTCACAGTCATTTCACACCACATGTACTTCAAAATGACTCCTCCAAATCTGTCAAGTGTTTCTCAACGCCGCTTGGTAGTTTAAGGTTAGAGGTTTCGGCTAGCATTCTAATGGTTCCGGGTTCGATTCTTTCTATACCTTATGAGGTTCGAAACCGGCCATAGCGTGCTGTATTACTTGGTGGGCAACACCCGTTATTTATCTACTGTCCCAATGATAATAAATAAATAAATAGACCTTTTATTCTCGACAGTGCGAGATGCGCCTGCATAGGCATATTCAGGGTGATACAACAAGGACCAGTAAATGTAAAAGCGGAACAAGTTTATAAGTAACATATGCATCCATGTGTTAAGCATGCATGAATGCATCCAGTTAAAAACGAGTGAGATTTTGTTGCTTGAATTTGTTAATGTGACGCCGTACTTGTGATTGATTTCGGCCAGGCGTGGGAATAAGTGAAACGAAATCTTTGTATTGGATAGCCCACGTCCGTGGATTGGCCTAGCTAATCCTGATACGGAAGAGGCAGTGATTTTAATTAGTGGCGTCTCATCCGTCACGTCACAGTATTGCTAACTAGACATTTGTGGCATTTTATAGAGAACGCTTATCAAGCGAAAAACTCCCCGCGTTCTGGTACATTGCCGCTGAACCATTCGCTGGGACGAGGTAAACCCGATCACCCAGTTGGCACCACGGTGAGGTCGGTCGGCTAGCCAGCCGAGGTTCAATTAAATGCGAATCGCGCTCCACACTGAGATTGCGTGTCGCAGCCCATCCACACAACGTGTACTCCAAAATCATTCACAATATCAATCACTAACCGTTGGGCCAAGCGTTGTCCGTCGCGACCCGGTGGCTCAATGGTAGCGGCCACGACTAACATCCCAATGGTCCCGGGTTCCATGTCTGCTAACTCTATCTGATAAGATGAAATCAGATCGAAACGTGTGATGGTTGTGCAGCGTTTTCCGGTGGACAACACCCAAATTCCATCTGCTCCGGCTACGGTCCCAATGTTCGCAGTGACCAAGATTCACTTCAATGCGAATCGCAGTCCACATTAAGATTGCATGTCGCAATCCATCCACACAACGTGTACTTCAGCTTGACCCCTCTGATATGTTGGGCTTGCTTTATTTCCGACTGTTATTCTACTCTTGCGGTTCTAGTTCCTCATGTGTAACATTACTACACGCTCGAATTAGTCTTTTGCCGTTATCTTCTTTGATTGTGACCGGTTTGTTTACCACTCTGTTTCAGCTAACTGCACTTGGAAAGGAACTCTGCTGATGCATCCTCATCCCCCTCTGCGCTTCCTGCACTGAACCATCGAATAAAGTTCTCCCTATTTTGACCGTATTTTCTCAATCTCCTTATCTGTTCTTTGCTGAACTGATTTTGTTTTCTCTTATTCCATTATGATTGTTTTCAGTGAAACGTGCTGTGCCTGTTTTATTCCACTGGACACGATGGGGAGCTTTTTGCCTCTGCGGTTGCATCTCTTCATACAGTGTAATATAAATCCCTCCGGCACTTTCTCCGTTTGTCGTCTGGTACTCGCGTCATGTCCTCTTTGAGAACTTGCTCATAAACCCAAAAAATGGCGTAGTGTTTTGAACTCTCAGTATCGTTTAGAAGTGTTGCTGCGCTTCAACCATGCTAAAAAGACCTTACTTATCTACTGGAAAGTTGTCGCGATTTATACTTGTTGGTCTTTACGGTTCTTATCACCCTCTGTGTGGTTTGTGCGTTCATATATATATATATATATATATATATATATATATATATATGCATGCATATATATATATATGCCCCTTGTTGAGGTTGACGTTGCATTCGTGATGCTTCTTCACCGCAGTTGGGCTAAACCAACTTACATTTAAACTAGGTCTTTTTAATGTGGATAAAATTCATTACATGTTATTTGGTTTGTTCTGCGTACTTCATAATCTTCTCCTTACTTGCACACGTCGCTCATGCAAATTGTGGTAAACTTGCGTAATTTTATCGCTTTGGTATTTTTTAAATAACCCGGACATTTTGTATTTATCACGGATCCACTTATAACCAGTTTCTTCTATATGCTCATTTAGCGAGTATTTATGTCGTCATATGTGTTTACTTTAATCGATATCGGCATTTCGAATGACTGGCTGTTGTTTGACATCCCAAGTGTGTCCGCGCTTGATGTGCATGTTGACCAGGTGCCTACCTGTGTATTACCCACTACCTCGTCCATACTGGCTCCAGGAGACAGTTGGCCGTTGCTGGAAGGGACGGGGTGCACGGTCCTTGTGGCCGTGCTAGGCTCAAAGAGCGGTTCTATGCACTCAGTGTGGAGCGGACTACGGTCCAGCCACCGCCTTGTGTGCACTTGATTCCCCAAATACAACATGCTTGTGTTTGTCTGTGAAGGAGTGTGGGCATGCTCCGTTGATGAAACGTGGTTCCCATCCGCATGCCTCCCGGTCTTATTCCTTCGGGTTTACACTGGATATGGGGTGTGTGGATGGAGCTGTGGGTGGTGCAGCGCAAGCCGTCCATGGTCCTTCTGTAGGCGCAGGCGTCCTGTGTCTGACCACAGTGACAGGCAATTCCGGAACCGGATGCCGCCAACCCTATATATATATATATATATATATATATATATATATATATATATATATAATGCACAATCTGTGGTACAGATGTTGTGCCATAGGAATCATGACTGAATAGAAAAATAGTATAAATAATAAGAAAATAACAACAGTATCAAAAGCTTCTTTTGTCCAGTTTATCACCCACACTTTTTGAAATTTTTTTCAGTTTTTCTTTAGGGGGAGGAAGGCGGGACACCGCAACACACCGATACACACGTTGGCCATTAACGTGGATCTTGAGCTTCCAAGGTCTGCAACCAGCAAGTATCCGCCCGAAGGCACTGAAGTCTGTGGCTAATAAACTAGCTGAACCACTGTCACAGTTCTTCCACAGGTGCTTTGATGAACAACAAGTCCCCAATATGTGGAAGTGTGGCATTATAACTCCTATTTTTAAAGGCGGTAGCCGTTCTGATCCTGCAAACTATCGTCCAGTGACTCTCCTCCCTGTGCTCGCGAAGGTGATGGAAGCAGTCGTCGCTGAGGCTTTAATGGACTACTTGGAAAAATGCAACATCTTGGTACCGGAACAGCATGGCTTCCGTCAATACCGGTCATGCACCACCAGCCTACTGATTGCACGAGGTACTTGGACGGAAGTGGTTGATGATGGGGTCGCAGTCGACGTCATCTATCTGGACTTCTCCAAAGCTTTCGACCGCCTTGATCACCGCATCCTACTTCAACGGCTTCAGAGTTACGGAATCGGAAATCCTGTACTTGGTTGGCTTGGCAGCTTCCTTTACCAACGGAAGCTTCAAGTACGTGTTAGGGGATCACTCTCTAACCCAATCGAGGTGGAATGTGGTGTCCCACAATGCTCAGTGCTGGGACCGCGTTTATTTCTGGTGTTTATCAACGACCTGGCAAAAGTCATCTCCTCAAATTTCCTGCTTTTCGCCGAAGACGTCAAGATATGGCGGGCGATTAGTCATAAGCCAGATCAGGATCTGCTCCAACATGACTTAGATTGCATTTACGAATGGTCAAAGAGGAACAGGCTCTAATTGAACATGGCTAAGTGCAAAGTGATACATCTGCGTCACCAGCCGGTGAGCGCTTACAAGCTTGGAGACCACACCTTGGCGAAGGTTTATCAGGAGCGTGACCTGGGCGTATTGGTACAGGAAGATCTTGGGTGTTCAAAACAAGCAGAGAAGACGACGCGAACCGGAAATCAACACTTCGGCCTTCTTCGCAGAGCCTTCGGTCGGTTTGACCCCTCAATATTTCCCCAAATGCTTAACGCCTATATACGACCTCACGTGGAATATGCTATTCAGGCGTGGCAGCCGTGTCAGAAACAGGATCTCGTTGCTCTCGAGACTCCTCAACGAAGGGCAACCAAGAACGTCAGTGGCCTCTTTCATCTGCCCTTTCAGCTTAGACTGAAATTTCTAAGAATGTACAACAGTCGACATCGGCTTTTGCGGGGGGGTCTCATCCTGGTTTACCAGATTCTGAAGAACCCAAACCACATTTGTCGTCCGCTGCTGGAATTGAACCACAACACTAAACTAAGAGGTCACTCTCTGAAACTGACAATTCATCATAGCCGGCTTGAATGCCGTAGAAATTTCTTTTCCCTTCGCGTGTGCCAGCCTTGGAACGCCCTCTCTAATCATGTCGTCTCTGCTCCCAATCTGGCGATATTTAAAAAACGTGTTGACTATGTATTGTCTCACTTACATTTCATTTTATGACTTGTTAGCCAGGGGCTACAAAACGCCATCAAACGGTGTCTTGGCAAACGCCTAACCGATGGATTTATACGTTTTATACGCGAACATCGCTATTCCACATAAGTCTATGGTGAGTCCACCACAACGCTTCTCACTTTATTATGCAATTGATTTTCGCAATAATTTCCATCCCACGGGACTTGTTAAGCGATGCTTTTTTACCCGTAAAAAACCATTGTTCCATCTCTCGGACCCCAACCAGGTAATCGACAACAACCGGCCAATGCCAACTGTTTTGTCTGCTTTTTCATGCGGCTTCTCCAAGTTGCAGGCTGTCCACCAGACCGTCTCTTACAGCCCTATCCAACAACCGAAAACAACGCACGACGCGGGTAACGCTGGACAGGCATGCGCAATACGTGTCCCAACCACCGCAGTTGATGCTGTGAGACGAGCTCCTGGAGCGAGTGGCTTCCACGTCTCAAGACGCGCTGTCTAACTTCCACATTGCTTGCGTGGTTCTGCCACCACACACGGGCAATGGGCCGCAGACAGCGGTGCTCGAAGACGGATAGCCTGCGCAAGTCATCTTTACGAATGGGCCAGGTCTCGCATCCGTACAACAGTACAGCACGAATAGTTGCACAATAGATCCGCCCTTTGATGGAGGGACA